CAAAATAATTTATCACAGGGAAATATACAGGAAATTGCACGCAAATAACAGATGCAAGAGGCAAGTGAGAAAAAAGAACTGAAAGAAATTAGTATTATTGAAAAAGTAGCATTTGAGAAAGTATTGGGACTGAATGTTAGCAAATCCCTGGAACCTAACAATCTACGTGTAGAATATTGAAAGAGGTGTCTACAGAGATAGTGGATGCATTCATAGTCTAAACCTAAACCTCACTGACTGTTCCAGAAGGCAGCTTATCACACCTTCTCAAAACAATAAAGACTAAAGATTGTGACTAGGGCCTTGCCAGGAATGCTCTCATCACAAGAATGATATCCTTGTCTTTAAGGATGTCCTATTTGGCATTTTGGAAATTGTGTTACATTTGAGCTTTAGAGTTCACCCTTGGTCTACTAATGAAAAAGATTTGCTCCCACTACACTATCTCAAACCATCAGTCAGTGATGCTCACTTAAAACTTCTACTTCTGATGATAATAAAAGCCAGCAGTAGAACTCCATTCTCTGCTAGGAACTACACTACATCTCGGTGCTGACGGAACAACTACAGCTATATCGAGGTTATCAAGTCAAATATATTGGAAATACGTTTCCTTGGCGACAGAGATGTCTTAAAAAACAGACCATTTTCGGCTGGAAAGAGTGACGTGAGCCACTGTATTTTGATTGCTATTTGAAACTGTTTGGGTTTTCCAGTCTCTCAGCATCTCCTCCGGTTCAATGGGAGCTACAGAGCTTCCTAATGTCCCTGTCTCCAGCTGCGGGATTCACACAAACAGTAACATTGCCTCCTCAGCTCAGTGCCTGTGCACATTGTACAATTTATCAAACTCTCTTAACATTAACCTCCAGCTCTCGGTGCGACTGCCATCGTTATAAATGCGATAACTGTGCAATGTTCACCCCGTCTATGACCATACCGACTTCAAGCAGACAGGCTCAGGGCCGGGGGTCCGTGTGGAAACAGGGTCCAGAGCCCTTCTCAGCTCGGCTGGAGTCAG